TAAAAGCCCAATGTGCGCACATCTCTCTCTCTCTCTCTCTCTTTCTCTGTCCGCAAAAAATTTTCGCCGGACATCACGTCAGAATCGGCAGCGATATATCGAGAATTTTTTACGGACTTTTGTTGAAAATAATATGTTAGATGTTTTAAATGTATAACCACAATTTTATTTAAAGAAGAAAAATAAAAATTTAAGGCGTATTCGAATGTAGAGAAACAGTATTATTTATGCAACCGGAAAAGCATTAATATATGTGAAAAAGAACGCATAAAACTGTGACGACACTATTGCTTACTAATGACGTCATCTGCCGTGTTTAAAATAAAAAAGAAATGAACTATTTCATTCAAATTTGATTTAGATCTACGTACACTATGAAATGTATACAATACAATTTTTCCGGCCTAAACTCATAACATTTATTTATACAAAATCTTTGTTTGGAACTGGCTAATTTGGGATAAAAAAATTAATTTGAAAGAATAGGCATATTCGCGTAAGTTAAGATTTTAAAATACGTCTTTCATTCTCTGTATTTTATAAGGTGCCTAAATAGCGGAGATGTTAGTGTACTATAAACCACGCAGGTGGTGCGGGTTCGAGACCCACCAAGTCAACTTGGTTAATGTATTTTTTTTATTATGCTCGGACTAAACTTAAAAAAAAAAATTCAATTAGGATTCTAGATCTAGATCTAGATTGTCGGGTGTCCGATAAGGCACTTCCCGGCGCCGCAGGCGCTTCAAATTTGGCAGGATCTTGCCTTGGGGCGACAGAGCACGGGGGCCGGTTGGCCGAAAAGTCTACGATGAGGGGGTCAAAACTGACCTCGACTGACCGGTACCTTATATGAGCTATAAATCGAAAAAAAATGTCCACGGAGGAACCTCTTCATAACTCTTGAGGTCGTAGACCGAACCTCGGGCGAATTAATTAAGCATTCACATTCTCAATGTTTTCGAAAGCCTAAGCGAAGCTGGGCAGCATGCCTAGTATGTAATCTAAACGCTTGCTAGAATATGTAATCTAAACACTGGCTAGAATATGTAATCTAAACGCTGGCTAGAATATGTAATCTAAACACTGGCTAGAATATGTAATCTAAACACTGGCTAGATTATATGAGGTGGACGGATGGCTAGGATATGGACGTCTCTATTGAGTCTGTTACATGTAGAATTGTTCCTAGTGCAGCTACGTAAAGACACAGATTGTTGTGGGGCGTGTTGTAGATGATGTTCGTGTCAAAAAAATAAAGCAAGTTTTATAAGTTTACTCGTGGAAGGGAAATAACTCGTATCGGCGGAAGTAGTACAACTACAGAACAAATACTGTGCTGTACGCTAAAAGGATGGGATATCGAGGGAATGAAGTACAGAGAGCGAGACATACAGATACATGATAACAAGGGAAAACATAGGCTGTACGTACGTAAATCTAACACAGCAACTGGAGATACACGCCAACATATGCACAGCTTTTACAACGACACGGCCGCTAAATATACACACCCAGCAGGTACACGACACACAAACTAACCAACACAACGACACATCAGCAAATACACGGCACACCAACCAACCAACACAACGACACATCAACGTATACAACGACACATCAGCAAATACACGGCACACCAACCAACCAACCCAACGGCACATCGACACACATATACAACGACACATCAACAGGTATGCGACACACCAGCCAACTTACACAACGACATACCAACCTATACAACGACACAAAAACCTACACAACGACACAAAAACCTACACAACGACACACCAGCAGGTACACACCAACCAACCAACACAACGACACACCAACCCACCTGCCAATCTAACCCAGATTTGACGCACAGAAAACGTTGAGAACACCGACTCCCTGATAATCTCTAAAACAACGATCACACGCAGACGGCAGTCACAACACGGATCAAAGGTCAGCACCGGTCACACACGTGTGCAGGAAAAACAACACACCTGATAGTAGCAAGCACATGTGTCACATGTTACTGGTAAAAATCATGACACACATATGCAGGGAAAACAACACACCTGATAGTAGCAAGCACGTGTGTCGCATGCTACTGGTAAAATCATGACACACATATGCAGGAAAAACAACACACCTGATAGTAGCAAGCACATGTGTCACATGTTACTGGTAAAAATTATGACACACACACACACATGTGCAGGGAAAATAGCACACCTGATAGTAGCAAGCACATGTGTCGCCTGTTACTGGTAAAATCATGACACACATATGCAGGGAAAACAACACACCTGATAGTAGCAAGCACATGTGTCGCCTGTTACTGGTAAAAATCATGACACACATGTGCATGGAAAACAACACACCTGATAGTAGCTAGCACATGTGTCGCATGTTACTGGTAAAAATCATGACACACATATGCAGGAAAAACAACACACCTGATAGTAACTGGCACATCTAACGCGTCGCCTGCGACTGACAAAAACAAAAACCGTGTCACATATGTTAGGGGGAAACAAACGAAACACTCAAGTGGTAAGTTATGTAATGTCTTTTTCTTACTTGAAAAAAATAAATCAGGCCAACATAAAAAACAGGCCAAAAAAAAAAATATAAATGGCCCTTTTTTTGTATTGCCATCTCTGGTCAGCTTATCTAATCCTAAATGTAATACTCTAAAAATCTGGGATGTGCAGACACGAATGTAAACAGTCGGTGTAATTAAACAATAATAATGAGAAATTCATGGCTAACACTTACAATCAAACAGAAAATATATTTGGTAAAACCAGCAAACTGTTCAATCAATCCAGACCAAGAAATACCACAACGGTACCACAACATCTGCATAAACATCTACATAAAAGACATACAACAGCCCGGAATTTCTAAACCTCACAATGTAAACAAAACATCCAACGTTAACACCAATCGGCCTTCACGAATAACATTTTTTTTTCTTCTTTAAATATTACAAAAAGTAATATTTGTGTTTCCTCGATTGTTTTGAAAAATGTGTTTCTGGTGTTTTATGGAGGGGGGGGGGGGGATGGTCCTGTAAAATATTTCTCCAACACCCACCCCCTCGCTACGCACACCACTATACTATCTGCGCCTATTGTTCGCATTACCCGTTGGCGATCTAGCTACATTCACGGCGAGCTTTCGCTGTTAAAACTTGTGAGGTTGGAAGTTTATCAATACGTGAAAACAATTTAGCAGGTCCGGCTAAATGGATGGGATATATAGTATAATAAAATCCCCGAGTACGCCAATATAAGACAAAAAGAAAGCCAGCATAAGATATCAAAGAATATCAAAGAAAGCCAGTACAAGACAATTAAAAACGCCAGTATAACAAAGAAAGCCAGTATAAGATCACAAAGAAAGCCAGTATAATATCACAAAGAAAGACAGTATAAGACAATTAAAAACGCCAGTATAACAAAGAAAGCCAGTATAGGACAATTAAAAACGCCAGTATAACAAAGAAAGCCAGTATAAGATCACAAAGAAAGACAGTATAAGACAATTAAGAAAGCCAGTACAAGACAATTAAAAACGCCAGTATAACAAAGAAAGCCAGTATAAGATCACAAAGAAAGACAGTATAAGACAATTAAGAAAGCCAGTACAAGACAATTAAAAACGCCAGTATAACAAAGAAAGCCAGTATAAGATCACAAAGAAAGACAGTATAAGACAATTAAGAAAGTCAGTACAAGACAATTAAAAACGCCAGTGTAACAAAGAAAGCCAATATAAAATCACAAAGAAAGCCAGTATAAGATCACAAAGAAAGACAGTATAAGATCACAAAGAAAGCAAGTATAAGATCACAAAGAAAGCCAGTATAGGGGCCTTTGTTCTAATCACCCCTCAACATATCTTCTTTATCTGCTAACTTGACCCTCCACCACCCACCCATCTACACCCACCACAAGCTACGACGGGACGGTGGGGTGGGGGGAGGGGGTGACAATGGGAAGCCAAACAGCTGTCCTGAAGGGGACCCTACCTGTGGGTCGAATGTCCGAGGACAGTCCTAGGGGCCGAGCGATAAGTTTCCCTGACCACTTGTGGCCTAGCGGCTGGTAACAACAGATGGACGGCCTCGCTAGCTGACTACACAGGGGGGTACTCACGCTGTACCGTGGGTAGGGTAGGGTTGGGTTGGGTTGGGTTTGGGTGGGGTGGGGTAGGGTAGGGTAGGGTTGGGTTTGGGTTTGGGTGGGGTAGGGTAGGGTAGGGTTGGGTTGGGTTGGGTTGAGTTAGGTTAGGTTAGGTTAGGTTAGGTTAGGTTAGGTTAGATTAGGTTAGGTTAGGTTAGGTTAGGTTAGGTTAGGTTAGGTTAGGTTAGGTTAGGGTAGGGTAGGGTAGGGTTAGGGTAGGGTTGGGTTAGAGTTGGGTTAGAGTTGGGTTAGATAGGGTATGGTTGGGTTAGGGTTTGTTTTAAAACTATACACAAAATAGATTTTAACCAGGGTTGGGGTTATGGACAAAAAGTTTGGATTAGGGCTTAATTTAAGTAAATTTGTTTTTTTTTAACACTCAACATTTTTTAAAACCGATAGGTTAGGTTTAAGGCCTGCGTTTAGATTAGGGTTATGGTAAGTTAGCTTTAAAAAAAAAACGATACGCCTAATAGAATTTTATGGACCAGTGTTTTGATACGGATTAGAGTAAATTTGATTTAAAACAATACTCAAATTATTATATTAAAAATACCATTATTATGTGTATGTTTGTTTAATAGTAGTTAGTCGAGTATGGCGGATAAATCCAAATCAATTGAGTCAGGATTTAAGTGCTAAGATCAGATTCGACGCTCAAACTTTGTCAACGTTATCAGCAATACAATCTGTAACAGGTCGGTCTAACTAACATACATGACTCTTAAACACCAAACAAACATCCACACACCATGAACACAAAGCCAAACAACCCGACAAGGTAACCTACATCAAATCAATGTGCTACAACGACTAAAGACTCACCATGATGTGCAATAAATCCATATCCATTCCACAACGTCACAAAGAAAACCCGCTGTAAAAAATATAAATCTCCACCACTCCGCAACTTCCCTTTTAAAATAACCTGCAACAAAAAAAACACGAAATGAAGTCAAACCAACGGCAAACATTCATAGAAATACACTTTGCTTTCACTAAAGCCTAGCCTGGCCAACTTATGAATCACTAGCAAGGCGGCGGGCCAACTTGGGCCGACAACGTAATAAATAATCTTTACGCCGATTTCTTAATGGACTACTAGTCGCGATAGGGCTATACAGGGCGTCGTATTCTAAGCAGCGGTGCAGAAGAGAGGGAGGGAGGGGGGGGGGGGGGGGCGCGGTTACATCTAGCTACTGTCATTGTAAAGGTTACATTTGTAGGTGGGGGGGGGGGGCTGGGTTTTCTAAAGGGAATCTATCCTAATAAACACAGGGAAGGGAGGGGGGGTTATGTTTGCACCGTAAGTAGGGTTAGACAAGCGTGACATACAGAAGTCGTGTGTTGGTGTTGGATTATCTAGGCATGAACAGGTGACAGTGGTAGAAGAAAATGCGGATAATCCGAAATATATGCAGGTGATACAGGTGTGTATCAAGAGTTGATATAGTTATATAACAAAACCTGATTTAAGTGTAAGCATAATGCCGATATATTTATATAACAAACCCTAATATAAATGTACACACAACCTCTATATTTGTACAACAAAACCTGATATAAGTGTACACACACAGCCGAAATATTTACAACAAAACCAAATATACATTAAATGTAAATTTGAATAAAACAAAACTTCAACGTCTTGTTATAGAAAACTAGCTTTAAGCCCCATACACACAATCTTACTGACAGAGGAAATTCATAATAGTTTAGCTGTTCAAACAGCTACAAAAAAACAAACAGCTGTCCGAAACAGCAGCAGCTTATCAGTACAGCTTTATGCTGTGTCTGGTCTGGTTAAACAAAGACCAAAACACATTATTTCGTTATCTGCCCGAGTCCGCTCTGTAGCAAAACGTCCCAATTAACACGGGACGTATGAAATCCTGAAGTATACCGCCTCGCTTCTGATAAGGACCTGACATACATCAAATGACAGATCAAAGCTTATCGGTCACACAGCGATCTTCATCCGGCAAAAGCTTATCAGTCATACGGCAAGATTCGTCAGGCAATAATGCAAAAAATAAATTAAAAAAAAAAAAAAGAAAATCGACTGCAGTCGGGTATATTAAACTTTGCTAACAGTTCGATTAACATACCTTTATTGTACCTTGCTATCAATACTATACAGTACCATGACTACAGATATCGAGCCAGCAAACTTGATTCATGTAACGGCGGCCGTGAGGTAAATCTTCCAGCATGCAACACTTGCATTTCTTTGTCGGCTACACGCCCTGCGCCAACACCCCGCTAGGGCGCCAACACCCCGCTAGGGCGCCAACACCCCGCTAGGGCGGCTCTCACAAAGACACGGGACACGACAAGTTACGGTAGCTTTAAATTAAAGGCTCGCGTCGATTAGACGTACCGCGTCCATATTTGTTTATCTCGTAACGCGGTTAATGACACTTAAACACACAAACTGCATCTTATCCCTCAGCTAAACCTGAATCAGATTATAACGGTGAGTAATACTGACGAGACACGTATAACATTAAATAGGTATGGCATATCGATAATACCGATATGTATATTCAACATATAAATTAATTGGCAGAAATGTAGTCATTGCTTTAAAAAAAATACTCGTCAACCTTAAACCTAACCTGAAAACTATTCCATCCCCATCTACCAAAACTAACTCTCTATCAACCAACCTGTATATTCCCTAGGGTCGGCCAACCACTACCCAACAACCCTTCCATCAACCAACCTGTATATCCCCTCGCCCCCCGGGGACGGGATTAATGACGAATCAAGAGGTCCCCCCGGTACTAGTCAAGTACTGTGTGATCAGAACCCAGTAACGAAGTGCACACGGCCACATAGATCTAATAACATGGACACAATACATACGCTTTAACATAGCATTCTTGCTAATGACGGTACCGTACATATCGATACCGTACCGTTAATTACGTCTAGCTCATAACCAATTATTTACTTTGAATATGAATATATATCTATATATATATATAATTCTCCTCTTCGAGCCGTTAGAAAACAAGCTGCAAGCTACCACCCCCCACCCCCTCACATGGTTTGGTGAGCTGTGGTTCACGTTGTTTACATTTTACAATCATAGAGACGGATTTGGTGACGGCTATTAGGGGCAGATAATTTAGTTTGAAACATTTTGAACTTAGAGAAGGTAACTAAGAGGAGGCTGCTTTCACGTGGGGGGGGGGGGGGGGGGGGAAGGGGGGTTTAGTTTTTTTTAAGCAAATTTTTTCAGTGGCAGCATTGGTACTGTCGAATTCACAAATTATAAATTACTGAAAAGTAGAAAAAAAACAACTAAATAGCGGCGTATGATACGCAGCGGGTCGGCTCGTTAAATATATTCTAAAAATATGAACGAGTACAATTTTTAAATAAAAACGGTATTACATAAGAGTAAGTAATTACTAATTAGTGGTTTAAGTAAATATTAATCAATGGGTATGGATTACACGTTATGGATAATGTTAACAGAAAACTAAAAGTCGCTTAAAAGTTATTACTCTTTAAACATTATTTATCAAACAGTTATTAACGTTAGCTACAGTAGTTAATTCAGAAGGAAGAAACAAATAGCGATGTTATTGTTTATTCTGGACAAGCTATTGTTGAGGTATAGTATTGTTAGATAGGTATAAAAAAGGTAAAGTATTGTTTCGAAGGTATAATAAAGGTTTATTATTGTTAGCAATCTATGATAAAGGTATTGTATACTATTGATGGCAAGGTATAATAAAGGTACAGTAATAGTATCGCTACCAAAGTTGAATACACCTGACCAGTGATGATGCACTATGATCTCACACTATCAGCGGCTAGCGGTACTGTGATGTCGTACTATGATCGGTACAGTGATGTCGCACTATGATCGGTACAGTGATGTCGCACTATGATCGGTACAGTGATGTCGCACTATGATCGGTACAGTGATGTTGTACTATGATCGGTACAGTGATGTTGCACTATGATCGGTACAATGATGTCGTACTATGATCGGTACAGTGATGTCGCACTATGATCGGTACAGTGATGTTGTACTATGATCGGTACAGTGATGTTGCACTATGATCGGTACAGTGATGTTGTACTATGATCGGTACAGTGATGTTGTACTATGATCGGTACAGTGATGACGGTACAGTTATGTCCCTTTAGCAGCAATAGAGAACAGATCTAGATCTATTATTTCCTGGCTGGAAACAACTAACCAAGTACGCTTGTCTAACTTGTGTCTAACCTCTGAACAAATTTAGTCATGTCGTTGATCATGTCAACTTAACTACTGAAGTCAATCCTAATTCATTTACATGTAAACTTAACTGCTGAAGTCAGTTGTAATTAATTCACATGTAAACTTCACTACTGAAGTCAGTTGTAATTAATTCACATGTGAACTTAACTACTGAAGTCAGTCCTAATTCATTCACATGTAAACTTAACTACTGAAGTCAGTTCTAATTAATTCACATGTAAACTTAACTACAGAAGTCAGTTCTAATTCATTCACAAGTGAACTTAACTACTGAAGTCAGTTCTAATTCTTACTATTGTGAACTTAACAGCTAAAGTCAAGTCTATTTTATAAACACACGAACCTAACAAGTAAAGTCAAGTCTAATTCATTCATATGAGAACAACACATAAACTCATATCTCGCATTCACCTATAAACCTAACGACAACATATCATATCTACAACTGTAACGTGTTTTACCCTCCCTCCTGTTTACTTTATCACCATGTAACATACAAACCTAAACTAAACCTTAGATCAACATTGGTTTCTGATCAACGGATTATAAGAGAGAAAGAAAGAAAAAACAACCAACGGGTCGAAATTTAGCACCCCCACTACACCCTACCCCAGCAGTAGAAAATATTTCCTATCAGATCAGGCCTGTGAAGACCGGAGCCAATTACAGCTGTGGTATATTTACCTTGTGAAAGGTGAGAGAAAATCCTCCAATATCCCCGCGGTGACGCGGGTACTGTAATGAAGTTCTAGCACACACGTTAGACTAAACTGTAAATATTTAACCAACCTCAGCACATGGAACAATTATTTCACTCCCAACAAAGCAGAGAGGTAAAAAAAAAAAATATACTATTTTTTTTCTCTTTCTCTCCTTCGATGTGTTGTAAGTCTCCGTATTAAAACCTGCGGCCCATTCACAACACAAACGTGACGATCTAGTGAATGGGGGCAGGGAAAATATTGGGGTTTTGAGGCTTCGAGCGGGGCAACTCCGCGCCGACGATGAGAGTTACCGTTCGTTGCTTGACGGGGGAGAGAAGAAAAAAGGGGGGCGACTGTTGACTGGGAGTGCGCGCGGCGGTACAGGTAAAGCCCGACGACTGAGAGGGCTGTACCCAAGCCGCGATTATCTCACACACCCCCCGCTCCCCGCGCAGGTTAAAAAAAAAAAACGAAAAAAAAAAAATCCTTCAACCGAATATAATTAGGTATGCGGATAATTTTTAAAAATGTATATTTAGTAGGACGGTTCTCACATTCCTCGGTGTAGCTAATCCTTGTCTGTAAAGTGAATCCTAGGGAAGACGGGGGCGGCTGGTGTGTGAGGGAGTGATAGATGGTGAAATATATCCCGTGCCCAACAGGACAGCAGATGTCCATTAGCCTGTCATCACGACAAAATCCAACACCACAAGCAGGGTTATATAATACAAGAAATGGCTTGGGGGGGGGGGGGGGGAGGTGGGGAGACGACAAAGACATAAGCCCAACAACAGGCAGATACGATAAAAGCCACAAGTAAACAACTGTGATGCTAATATGTTCGTACCTGCCGTAGCTGCAGTACTTACAAACCAGAAATAAAGAGCCGCATAACACGCACATAAGGAACCGCATTTTATCGAAGTGAAGAGCCGCATTACACTAAACGTAAAGGGCCAAATTACACCGAACATAAACAACCAAATTACACCGAACGTAAAGGGCCGCATTATACTGAAGTAAGGGGCGCATTACACTGACCGTAAAGGGCCGCATTACACCGAAGTAAAGAGCCGCATTACACCGAAGTAAAGAGCCGCATTACACCGAAGTAAAGAGCCGCATTACACCGAAGTAAAGAGCCGCATTACACCGAAGTAAAGAGCCGCATTACACCGAAGTAAAGAGCCGCATTACACCGAAGTAAAGAGCCGCATTACACCGAAGTAAAGAGCCGCATTACACCGAAGTAAAGAGCCGCATTACACCGAAGTAAAGAGCCGCATTACTACGAAGTAAAGAGCCACATTACAGCGAAGTAAAGAGCCACATTGCACCGAAGTAAAGAGCCGCATTACACTGTACATAAACGGCCAAATTACACTGAAGTAAAGGGCCGCCTTACACTGACCGTAAAGATCCGCATATCCTAATACAACCCACCGCCAGAGGTTTTCGGGGCTTAGTTTGTCCCCAACTGGCCCCAACAGTATAAAAAAAAATATCAACCATGTTTAGTCCCCCCTCCTTAGTTTCCCTCAAAGAATGTGTTTACCTGTCAGATATGCTTTCAGTTTCAACACGTACTGCTAATATGGACGCAACTAACCCCCCCCCCCCCCCCCCACATACACACACACAGGTCTCAACAAGGGGCGGTAAGTGTACTCGGCGAACAAGGGCCATAAGTGTCCTCAGTCAACAGGGGCGGTAAGTGTCCTTAATGACCCGTACAAATACCTGACGACGTTCATGGGGACTAAACTCTCCATCACGCCCCCCCCCCCCCTCACCCCACCCACACAGATATTTTGTCATGTCAGGCACGAGTAAAGAAAAACTGACACGCTGTAACAAAAAACTAAAGGTCAGGACGCGGTACACACGGAGCCAGGGGAAACAGAGTTGACGAGTTAACTAAGCCACGGCACGATGGTGGGGGTCGTATGGCCATAATGTCTGACTACTTCAAATCCACAGATTCGAGCTTAATCAGGTACCTTAGGTCCAGAGTTTCTTTCAGGTATCTCTCCCCCCCCCCACCCCAAAAAAAACCCACAAAAAAAACCTCCACCACCCCCTCCACCGTGCTGAAATAGAAAAAGAGGTAATTTATATAGAAAATAAAAACTTTACCTAGTCCCCCTCCCCCACCCTGAGAAAAATGCCTAAAAGAAACCCTGCTAAAGTCACGTGCTTTAAGTCAAGAATCTCAACTTATATACCCAAACGCAGATACCTTAAGTCTACCTGTAGACAGGTAGTCCTACCCTTAAGTCAGGTTTCTTAACTCAACTAAGTCAGGTAGTGTAACTTTATTTTTTTAATCTTATCTTAGCGTTACAGTTTGGAAATTAAAAAAAAAAAAATGTTAAAAAATTATTCTTATAAAAATATTTCTGCTATAAATATTTCGTGAGCCTCATTGAAGTTTGTACTTTTGTTCTACTACCTAAAATAGAATGTAGTAGAGACTAAAATAAACCAACTCATGGTGCGACTGTCTAGTTAAATAGAATGTAGTAGAGACTAAAATAAACCAACTGATGGTGTGACTGTCTCCGCTATTTCTAGTCAAGCTCTCTACTCCACTACATAAAGGGTCGCGTTTCCTTATGACTAGTATTTGACCTTTGCATGTTCATGTAGGAACGTCAGTTGAGTGGATGGGGTTTGCGTTTTGATTGTTTTTTTATAATTAGGATTTTAGGGGGAGAGTTTATTCTTGCGTCAATTAGTGACTCGAAAACAATGTCTTTATTTGTTTCTTGTGGTGGTCGCTGTTGTTTTGTTGTTTTTTTTGTGTGTGTTTTTAGATTAGTTTTAAATAATGTTAAAGTTAATGGTAGGATTGTTTTTCTTTGTAGGTCAAACCACCTTATGGTGGGTTTGTTTGTGATGTTGTACTTGATTGCGGTGATGTGGTTCATTGTGATGATACGTCATTGTATTGTGTGTTTAATTGTGGTGGAGTTTTTAGTATGGTGACGTGTTTGATTATGGCCATGTTTGATTGTGATGGCGTGTTCGATTATGGTTGTATTTGATTGTAAAAATGTATTTTTTTCGTACACACTGGGTGATATGACTTTGTACATTCTGACAGACGTGACTGAGGCCAAACTGATATTTCAGTGTACAAACTGTGGTATGTGACTTTGTACAAACTATGTTAAAGTACAGAAAACCTACATTACAGCACAAAAAACTACTTTACGGCACAAAAAAAACCTTTTACAGCATAAAAAAAACTACTTTACAGCACAAAAAACCTACTTTACAACACACAAAAAACCTACTTTACAACACAAAAAAACCTTTACAGCACAAAAACCCTTTACAGCACAAAAAAACCTTTACAGCACAAAAACCCGTGTTACCCCACAAAAAAACGTGTGTTACACCACAAAAGAAACCACCTACATTTCCAAAGACAAAAGCTCCGCCAGTAGACAGCTAATTCCCCCGCCCGCCGTAAAAGTTAAAAATAAAACAAGGGCCTTAATTATCGCCGCCGCCAGAATCTACTTTGGTTCACAAATCTGCCGGTATGGGACATGATTTATTGACAATTATTTCCTTCAAGGTGGCGGATGTTTGTTTGGGGAATAAGTAGGTGCCCGAGTGGCTGCTTGAAAGTATGTTTGTTGCGTATGGGCGTTAGTATATTTTAGAGTGGTTTAGCGGGTGTTTGTGTGTGTATGTATGTTTGTGGTTATGCAGATATGTCATTTGTATGGTGTTTGTGTGGGTATTTTTTTGTGTTCTGGCGTATTTGTGTCAGGGTTTGTGTATTAATGTGTAATAAAACTGCTACGGAGTAAATATGGAGATTTGGGGTAAAAGGGGAGATTTAGGGATAACACATAGAACACCTCCAACCTACTCCACCCAACATCCCTACCCCACTCCACCCAACACCCCTACCCTACTACATCCAACACCCCCACCCCACATCGCCCATGCCGCCATCCTATCCCATCCAACACCCCCACCCTAGCCCATCTAACACCCCCACCCGACCCCATCCAACACCCCCACCCTACCGCATCCAACACCCCCACCATACCCCATCCAACACCCCCACCCTACCCCATCCAACACCCCCACCCTACCCCATCCAACACCCCCACCCTAGCCCATCTAACACCCCCACCCGACCCCATCCAACACCCCCACCCTACCGCATCCAACACCCCCACCCGACCCCATCCAACACCCCCACCCGACCCCATCCAACACCCCCACCCGACCCCATCCAACACCCCCACCCTACCGCATCCAACACCCCCACCCTACCCCATCCAACACCCCCACCCGACCCCATCCAACACCCCCACCATACCCCATCCAACACCCCCACCATACCCCATCCAACACCCCCACCCTACCCCATCCAACACCCCCACCCTACCCCATCCAACACCCCCACCATACCCCATCCAACACCCCCACCCTACCCCATCCAACACCCCCACCCTACCCCACCCTACCCCATCCAACACCCCCACCCTACCCCATCCAACACCCCCACCATACCCCATCCAACACCCCCACCCTACCCCATCCAACACCCCCACCCTACCCCATCCAACACCCCCACCATACCCCATCCAACACCCCCACCATACCCCATCCGACACCCCCACCCTACCCCATCCAACACCCCCACCCTACCCCATCCAACACCCCCACCATACCCCATCCAACACCCCCACCCTAGCCCATCTAACACCCCCACCATACCCCATCCAACACCCCCACCATACCCCATCCAACACCCCCACCCTAGCCCATCTAACACCCCCACCCGACCCCATCCAACACCCCCACCCTACCGCATCCAACACCCCCACCCGACCCCATCCAACACCCCCACCCGACCCCATCCAACACCCCCACCCGACCCCATCCAACACCCCCACCCTACCGCATCCAACACCCCCACCCTACCCCATCCAACACCCCCACCCGACCCCATCCAACACCCCCACCATACCCCATCCAACACCCCCACCATACCCCATCCAACACCCCCACCCTACCCCATCCAACACCCCCACCCTACCCCATCCAACACCCCCACCATACCCCATCCAACACCCCCACCCTACCCCATCCAACACCCCCACCCTACCCCATCCAACACCCCCACCCTACCCTATCCAACACCCCCACCATACCCCATCCAACACCCCCACCCTACCCCATCCAACACCCCCACCCTACCCCATCCAACACCCCCACCATACCCCATCCAACACCCCCACCATACCCCATCCAACACCCCCACCCTACCCCATCCA